CGCTTTCGTATTTGGTGACTACAATCAAGCTGGTCTAAAGTGGCGCTTTACAGACAGTGGCACACCATTAATTGATCCACTGCTTTCGCATATGCCGGTTGCTTGCTGTGCTCTTTTGGACGGTTTTAACTTTTACGGGTTCACACAAGTGAATACTTTTCCGAACCGAAATGGACGTTTGCTAGATCTTGTCCTGGCAAATGATTCCGCACTACCTGGCACTTCTGTTTCCTTGCCCGTCGAGCCAATGATTGATCTAGATGCCGATCATCCCGCTCTCGTCGTGTCATTTAGTTTACCTGCGCCGATTCTTTTTACGCCGTCATCTGAGTGCTACTCTTTGGACTTTCGCCGGGCCGATTATGTTGCATTGAACAATGCGCTTGCGGAAATTGATTGGCAATTTATCGAAACTGCCGCTAGCGTGAATGATGCAGTGGATTTTTTCAGTGCTGCACTGGAAGATGCTATTTTCCGCATTGTCCCAGCTCGACGACCTCCGCTAAAGCCTGCATGGTCTAACCCACGCCTACGCGTGCTAAAACGTCAACGCTCTGCCGCCCTCCGAAAGTATTGTAACTCTCGCTCGCCGTACTACAAACGACTGTTCAATTTTGCGAGTCGTAGTTATCGAAATTACAATCGTTTTCTCTATAATCGACACGTGAGACGCACGGAAGCGAACCTTCGCACGAATCCGAAAAGTTTTTGGTCGTTTGTCAACTCAAAACGGAAGGAATCCGGATTGCCTTGTTCCATGTTTCTCGGGAATGACTCGGCTAATAGTGAAAGAGAAAAATGCGACTTGTTTGCTCGTCATTTCAAGCAAGTGTTCAACGATTTCTCCGCTTCGCCAACACAAGTGCTGGATGCTGCTGTTGGGATGCCACGTGATGTGTTTAGTTTCGTTATTCCGCGCATTTCAGAAGACATGGTGATAGCCGCAACACGCAGACTGAAGCTATTGTTCGCCTCCGGACCTGACGGCATTCCGTCATCAGTTCTAAAACGTTGTGTAGCCAATCTCTGCCTTCCACTTGCGAGGCTATTCAATCTCTCGGCACAGCAATGTGAGTTCCCCTGCCGCTGGAAACTTTCTTATCTGTTCCCAGTGCACAAAAAAGGAGATAAACGGAATGTCTTAAATTATCGTGGAATCACCTCCCTGTGTGCCTGCTCAAAACTGTTCGAGATTATCATAAATGGTGCTCTGTTCGCACGCTGCAAAAATTATATCGATACAGAACAACACGGTTTCTACCCGAAGCGCTCCGTGTCCACGAACCTGGTGCAGTTCACTTCTAACTGTCTGCGATGCATGGATTCAGGATGGCAAGTCGATACTGCGTATATGGATCTAAAAGCTGCATTTGTCACGGTGGACCATAATATCCTGTTGGCCAAGCTGGAGATACTTGGCATCTCGTCAACTGCTGTGGATTGGTTTAGATCTTACTTGGTGAATCGCTATGTACATGTCAAGATTGGCGCGTCGGAATCGGATGTTTTCTCAAACAACTCGGGAGTCCCGCAAGGCAGTAACCTAGGACCACTACTATTTTCGATCTTTTTAAACGATGTCGCCTTGCTGATACCATTAGGATGCCGCGTTTTCTATGCAGACGATACGAAAATCTACAAAATTATTAAAAGCCTCTCGGACTGCTGGGATCTCCAGAATATGTTAGGTATTTTTGCTGACTGGTGCTCAAGAAATTTGATGAGTCTAAGCATAGAAAAATGTAACATTATTTCATATCACCGAAAAATTGAACCAATCATGTTTGACTATGTTCTCTACGGACGCTGTCTTGCTCGTGTAGAGCACATAAAGGATCTCGGCGTTACCTTGGACTGCAGACTCACTTTCAAAATCCACTACAATGACATCATCTCCAGAGCTAATCGACAATTGGGATTTATTTTCAAAATTGCCGACGAGTTTCGTGACCCGCTATGTCTCAGGTCACTTTACTGCTCGCTTGTGCGATCCTTATTGGAGTCAAGTTCAGTTGTTTGGTGCCCTTTACATGCTAGCTGGATCACTAGAATTGAATCCGTTCAACGCAAGTTTGTGAGATATGCTCTTCGTTTCCTCAACTGGCGTGACCCAACGAACTTGCCACCGTACGAGGAGCGTTGCCGTCTCCTGGGAATCGAGCCATTAGAGGTGAGACGGACGGTTGCTCAAGCTATGTTCGCTGGAAAGCTGCTTACAGGTGACATTGACTGCCCAACACTGCTGCCACAGCTAAATATGTATGCCCCTGAGAGGTCTCTTCGTCAACGCGACTTTCTGTTTTTGGAACCACGGAGCCGGAATTATACACTACACGAGCCAATTCGAGCAATCAGCCGGCAATTCAACAACTTTTTTTATATGTTCGACTTCAATGTATCAGCTGACGTGTTTCGTCATCGGCTACTTGGCCTTTTCCGTACCGTTGACCGTAACTATTTAGTTTAAGTTTTATTCATTTAGACAGTATTTGTCAGTTGAATTTTTCAATAAACAATAAACAATAAACAATAGACTGCCGCACTAAAACTAAAGCCTTCTATCAACCCTGGACCGGATGGTGTCCCTTTAGTCTTTCTGAAGAAGCATATCGCTAACTTGCTGTCACCGCTACAACATCTGTTCCGATTGTCCATATCGTGTGGCATTTTTCCATCGAACTGGAAATTTGCGCATATGTTCCCTGTGTATAAAAAGGGTAGTAAACGGAACGTGGATAATTATCGTGGAATTACATCGTTGTGCGCAATTTCGAAGTTATTCGAGTTAATCATCATAAAGCCTCTGCTCTCCCATTGCAAGCAGTATCTAAGTGAAGATCAACATGGCTTCACCTGTGGTCGATCTACTACCACGAATCTACTGTGTCTGACATCGTACATCACGCAAAGTATGCTTGCAAGGTCACAAACAGACGTCATCTACACTGACTTGTCTGCTGCCTTCGATAAGATAAATCACGCCATCGCGATCGCCAAATTGGATAGACTTGGGATTAGCGGAAATCTCTTGAGATGGTTTTGCTCATATCTCGCCGATCGTCAGTTAGTGGTTGCCCATGGTGACTGCCAGTCCGACATTTTCGCAGCTACGTCAGGAATATATTATACCTCAAGGAAGTCATCTGGGACCGTTGATTTTCTTACTCTACTTCAATGACGTGAATTTAGTTATCGAAGTTCCACGACTATCGTATGCAGACGATCTCAAAATCTACTTACGGATCTGCTCGATCGATGATTGTCAATTCCTCCAACGTCAGTTTGAAGCGTTTGCCAGCTGGTGCCATTTGAACCGAATGACAGTAAATCCTGCGAAGTGTTCAGTCATCACTTTTACCCGAAAGAAAGAACACCATTATTGAACGTGTGAGCAATGTAAAAGATCTAGGTGTCATCCTGAACTCTCAACTTACATATAAGCAACACATCTCGTATGTCGTCGACAAGTCGTCAAGGACATTGGGCTTTATCTTCAGAACAGCTAAGAATTTCTCCGACATCCATTGCCTCAAGTCACTGTATTGTTCGCTGGTACGTTCCATTCTAGAATTTTGTTCTGATGTTTCGAGTCCGAACTACAACAATGGTACTGAGAGAGTCGAGTCCGTTCAACGCCGCTTTCTGCGATACGCGTTGAGAATGTTACCTTGGAGAGACCCGTTTAATTTGCCCAGCTATGAAAGTCGCTGCCAGCTGATCGACTTGGAGCCTCTTCGCACCAGAAGAGATACTTCAAAAGCCCTGCTTGTCGCGGACATGTTACATGGCAGAATTGATTGCATGGCAATCTTGGAGCAAGTAAACATTAACGTCCAACCCCGAATGCTTCGTAACGATGTTATGCTGAGAATGCCACTACGTAGGACAAACTATGCAATCAACGGTGCAATAGGCGGACTGCGGCGAGTTTCATCAGTATTCGATTTTCACCTGCCACGACTCACTTTGGAGACGTTTCTCTTCATTCTTCTCCAGAAATGGAATCAGTCTATGATCATGTTTTAATGTTTTGTAGTTTTAACTTATGACTTTAATTTTAATTTTATGTTAAACCATCATTTGGACCATATCGAGTCTGTTGATGCTGACAAATAAATAAATACGTACTGCCAACAAGATCGATTTTGTCCCCAAGCTAATGAATCCTCCGAATTGCCCGGAATTTCGACCAATCGAAAAACACTGGGCAATTTCAAAGCAGCGACTTCGACGAAGCGGCGGGGCAGTCAAGGACATCCAGAAATGCGCTGATTCCGTATCCGTCACCACTGTGCGGGCGCTGATGAGCTCCATCAAGAGGAAGGTTCGAGATTTCGTTCGAACTGGAGAAAATGTAACCATCTAATGCTGTAACTTTGAAGTTTTAATAAAAGTACTGTGAAGCAACCATTAATGGACTTTTTAAACTTATTGAATCACGAATTACAGCTCTTTTTGTGTGTACCAATTTACTTTTAGTCAGCCTTTACTACACCTATCGGACCAGGCCACTCCGAATAATCCACCGGCGAAATGATGTTTAATTGCTCCAGGCTCGAGCTCTTGATTTGGGCAAATAACTGACATACACTGTTCTTTCAGTTCCAATTTCAGTTTCCTCTTATGACATAAACCAGTTTTTCACTGAACACCTTATGGAATGTTTTCTTCAGGGAAGTAGTAAATCACTAAAGGCTGTATCCAGCTGCATTTCACATCCGGGAACACAAAACATGAACAAATCTATCCACAACAACCACTTTGCTGGCCATCGAGTACATCCTCCGTTTTCTCGAAGACCCTCATGATTTTAGCCGTAATTGTATGAAAAAAGGATTCCGTCCATCGTGCCTATCACTTATAAAGATAATCCGGGGGCCACGCTTTGTTTCGTCGTCCACAATGAGGCTTCAGGGTAGTGTAACGATCACGAAGCCCCTGCTGGAGGAGCCACTCAACAACAATGGAAAACAACGATTAGCCAAAAGAAAGGTACAAACCTCTATCGTGCTCCGGTGGATCCTGGCTGCGACGATGCTCGTTGCTGGAGTTAGACACCGAACTGAGGTCCCGTTCGGTGCGATCGCGATCTCTGTCCCTCTCGCTGGCGCGCGAATCCCGTTCACTGGTGTGTAGCTGCTGCTGCTGTTGGAGCTCAAACTCGGCGGCGGCCGCAGCTGCCAGGGCGGCTGTTCCACAAATAGAAAAAAACGTTTCAATTCATTTTCCGACAAAAAACACAACTCATACGAACCTCTGGTAGTTTTGTCACGTCGTTTCTCCTTCTCTTTCTCGCGCTTCCGTTCGGCGGCTGATTCCTCCCGTTCGCGTTCCTTCTCACGGGCCCGTTCCTCCCGTTTGATCTCCTTGGACGACTTTTCCTTCGTAGTGCTACTGACGGATGTTTCCCTGGTCGATTCTCTCACCGGAGTGTCCTTCTTTATTTCCCGCTCGATAATCTTGACATCCGGATTGCTACTGCTGTTGCCGCTTCCAACGTTGTTGGAGTTTGCCGCTGAACTAGACGAGTTCAGTTGTAGCTTCGAACTGGACGACGAACTATTGACGACGATGATCTTTTTTTCGGACTTGATCTCTTTACGATCTGGGAAGATACAATAAATTTTTGAAGTTTTTTAACCAACCGGAAAGTCATCCTAACACTTACCACTTTTGCTATCCCCGTTCATTGCCTTCGATTCCTGCGGTTCCACCTTGACGGGCTTCTCCGCCACCTGATGGAAGTCGCTTTCGCGCATCATCTGTCCGGCCTTGGCCTTTAGCTGCCCGATGTAGCTGGAAGCCAGAACGAACAGATCCTGGCGTTGGTTCTTCTCCTCCTCCCGTACCTTCTCGACCTTCTTCTCGATGATCTGTGCCAGCTTGGCTAGAACCGGGAAGTGCGGCAAGATGCGCATCAGGATGATCAGCGAATTTCGAATCTGCATGTAGTCCTTGGAATCTAAGCAGAATACCATCGCCTTGGTGATCTTGTAGTGCCACTTGTGACACACGTGACGGTAGTTTTCGTAGTTGACGTGATCGTTCGCTTCGGAGAACTGATTACTGACGCGGAATTTGGTCACGAATCCGGGATAGTTTGAGCACTCCCGGTTGAAGGTGCTCTGATCGGCGTGCCAACGCATGACCGTTTCCAACATGGCGCACAGGAAGCGCCCGTACCGAGTAGCTTCGTTTTCCGTGCAGGACGTAACCGAATATGTTATATCGCAGAATATTCTATCGTAGCAAAGCAACGTGGAAAAGTTGGCCGTCTTCAGGCTGTGAATCGTGTGGACGAACTTTGCACAGTAGAGCGCATCCAGGGCCGTGAAGGTACATCGCGGGAAGAGACACAACTGCAGGAACTGGGTGATGGTTTCGTTTTTGGCGGACTTGGCCGAACGTGACAGGAACCATGCATCCTTCTCGCTTGTCAGTCGGTGCATAATTTTATCAACGTGCTCCTGTTGCTTCTTCCGTTCGTCCTGCAGTTTCTCCATCAGTGCCACGTGTCGTTCCTGTTCCTTCTTGTTCTTCGATGCATTCTGTTCCTTGGAGTCCATCGCCGAAATGGAAAGTTGCTTCAGTTTGTTGATCTCACGTTGGTAGCTTTCGGCCGGAACCTGCAGGTCGTACATACTCAAGGACCAGAACGTGACCAGAAATTGCGGACTGATGTCTTCCCAAACTTTGGGTGGATGCAGCGGACGGACCGATTCGATTACCGGGTTCATCACGAATGCGGTCGCCTCCAGATATTTGACCATCTTCTGCGAGGTGGACAGCTTCTTTGAGTTTTGATCCGCCTTGCGTAGTTGATCGTATTTTTGCTATAAGGACAAGTTTAGGATGATTAGCTTGAATGATTCCTCGGTGTCTGGAAGGTTTATAGCTTACACTGATGGCATGGGAAAACATCGGCCTGGCAAGGAAGAACGCCACGTCCGAGTGGATGTGATATTCCTGTAGCATGCTGTGAATCGTGGGTAACCGATCGACGTACTCCTCCACTGAGTAGGTCGACCCGAGGAACGTGCCGAACTGGACCAGCGTGTCCTGGCATTGGTCGTACAGCTTTCCGACCAGCTTGAGATGGCTAGAAGCCGTTTCACGATAGATAACGCAGTGCTTCTGCTGGGCAATCAACAGACACAGGGCCACGGATAGGTCGTTGCTGGCTAGGGCATCCTTCAGACGCTGGGAGGACTTCTTGGTATTGCGCACCTGGCTGAAGTATCCGGCCTGGAAGATGCGATGTTGGAATGTTAAATAATAATATTTAGGTGTTTTGATCCTGGAAATTCTCGATAACTAGTCAAACTAACCTCGCCTCGCAGCAGTTCTCCACCGCACATGGCACCGATTTGCTCGGAGGTCATCTCCTCAGCAGCTTCGATACCGGTCATTTTCTGCACCACTTCCTTCAGAATCAACAGATCCAGGCTGAAATGAACCGGCCATTAGCTATCGAAACCTCTACTGGCTAATGACAGCGTTTGAAAATCTCACCTCTTATGCGCCTTCAGCTGATTGCCCACATACTGCAGCAGTCCGCTGAGTTCGATGTTGTACTTCTTGTAGATGGCCCCACAGAAGTTGGCCAAACTCTGCAACCACAGCGAAATGGACGTCCCGTCGTTTTGCATGGGATTACGATCCACTTGTTCCAGCGATTCTATCAAGCAATACCCGAGCACATCGTACGAGAGGGAGGTAAGATATTTCAAGGAATCCACTACCGGTGTGATCAGATTGTCGTAGATTTGAATTTGCAGGAGGATCTGAAAATGACGTTGGAATGAATTATGAGCGAATTATGAAGACATTCGGCGGACGACTTACGTAATCGAACAGGAAGCCCGGCGAACAGTGACTCAGTTTACCGATCAGCCGTCCAACCGGTTTACTATTCTCCTTGCTGACCCGCTTCATCAGAGCCTTGATTTGCTTCTGGGCATTTCCTCGGCGGCGGATCAGCTTCGGCTGCAGCTGGTAGGTGTCGTTCTTCCAGCGGGCATACAGACTGTACCGATATTGATAGGGATAAAGTTTCACGATCGACCAGATTTCTTCGGCCACGCAACAGTTGCAATCCATATAGGAGAGAGCCGGAAGAATCGAAGCATCCAGCAGGGTTATGATGTCGTAGTAGAGCTGTTCGTTCTCCGATCCGACTGCGGGTGGATTCATCGGATCGACGTTCATTTCCGTCAGGATAATGCGGACCAAGCGGAGAAGCTTGTAGAGCAGAACGGAATCGTAGTGCAGCGAGGGTCCCAAGGCGGTGAACATAGGAAAGGCGTGATTGCGTAGTTTGGAGATTGTGGTAACCGGTGCCGGTGCTAATTTGCTGAGCCCGTTGCTGATTGGACGTCCTTTGATGTTGCATGGAAGTGCACACTTCAGACGGTAGACTGGTTCGATTATCATATGCAGCAGTCGACAGAGAGCCCTTGCTATGCGCTCATTGACCATTACGGATTGTTCCGGAAGTTTTTTCAGCAAAAGCTGGGCCGTATTCCAATCGCCAACGTGGAGTAGCGCTTCGCAAAGACCCCACTTTTGGTTGGTGGCGTATTTCTCCGGTGTCACCTCCTTCTCCGGTTCAGGTTCCTGTTCCTTATCTTTATTCGTGGAAACGACATTCAACCTTCGAACGAATTCCTTTGCATCCGCCACATCAGATTCCCATTCGGTGATGATAAGCTTGTCTGTTGGGCTTAGCCAAGCATAGATATCATCCAACTTGATGACTCCGTGCTGCAATAGCAATGCCGTCACCTTGAACAGCGATTCTGGAGTTCGACTGTCGGCAAAGTGTCGATATTTATAGCCTAGCACCTCGCAGATGATATTTCCATCGTTAATATACGACTGAAGCAGCGGAATGAACATCTTATCGTGTTCCGGACGGGTTTCGAATGATTCCAACATAATGTCCAGCACTCGATTCGGGTCTAAATTGAAGCAACCAATCAGCGATTTGATAATCTCCAGTATGCTTAGAACTGTGTTCGATTCATTGAACTCCTGATTCAACTCCGTTATCAGTTTGGCGTACCCTTCGCTTTCCTCGCGGAACAAATTGAATCGACGTTGCTTGTAGCTAAAAAAGAAATTCCCATTAAAATGTGCATTTAAAATCAAAACCGATTCAAACCCTTCAATACTCACTAAAGCTTCGTTTTCACCTTGATGAACTTGGTATAGAAACTCCTATTCTTGATCGTCCCCACATCCTGCAGCGTGTCAATCTCGAGCCGTTCCTTCAGCAGCTTTTCCGACAGAAACCGCTCCGATTCCTTTGCGATAAAGCAGAATGCACCACGTTCTTCGGTAGAAGCATCCGCGCCACTTCCCCCTCCTCCGGCAGCCGTTTCCGCATCCAAAACTCCAAAGATGTCCAACATGATCGACGGAATGTCACTGTGTAGATTGGCTAGCTCGCCCAACATCGCCAGGGCGCTTTCCTTCTTGATCTGTCCCCGGATGCCATGTGATACCAATTCGTAGATTGCCCGCGAAATTCCCGTCTTCCGGTCATTTTTCCCGAACAGAGGACTGCTATCCTCCTTCAGTAGAGCTTTACATTGTTTCAAACTGCAAAAAGAAAAACAATAACAATTTCAAGGTTACCTGCGGCTCAACAACAGTTCCAAAGTGCTTTGCTCAAGTGAAAGTGTTCTTCCGTATTTTGATAGTGTTCCGCGAAACCGGTATCCACCGGATTCCATAATATTCCCTCCGATGCAACAACACACTCTTCTAACAGGCAACAAAAAGCACCACCATCATCAAAGCAGTAAGAAAAAGAAAACATTTTTTCTTTTGCGATTCGAGGAATCAACCCAGAACTATAATTCATGTTTTCTTCGCATATAATGCACCATTTGCCAGAACTCCACCATCAAACGGAAGTACACCACCTGAGCTACACTTTGCACAATGTTTTAGAACGAAAAAACAGCAATTACAATTCAGATTTTCCACTTCTTTCCCAAGATTTCCAAATATCAGCGTTCAGCATTTTCGCGACCAATATTTCGATTTGACGTTTCGGATTTGGAAAGATGCGTGCGTGCGGCGGAGTGGAATAAAAGAGAGAAAAAGACGGCATGAGTCAAAAGCGTTTTTTTTCCCAGCACACAGATGCGTCTGCCGGACAGATAATTTTCTGATAGGCAAACTACGAAAGAGATCTAAAATCTGGCTGCGTGCGAAAATTCATTGGTTTCAGACGTTTGTTTCTGAAGGGGGACGAATGAAATGTCAAACTCAGTCAAAATTGAACAAAAACATAAAAAAGTTACAAAAAAAAAAACCAAGCGGCGTCGATTTGCTTCATTTTCGTTGCAGTCGAGTTTATGCGAAAAAATCTGGCATTTAATTGATTCTAATATTTACATAGCTCTACTAAAACACTACATTATCTCATCAAGTGAAAGTTCACCAAAATGACGGCCGTAATTGATCCGGTAAGTGGATTCCTTGCTATTTGCTCCCGTTTAAGGTTATGTTGTCACCGTCAATGACTGCTTCCAGGAACTGCGTACCAAAATCGACACCGCTTGCCGAACGGCGGAGGAATTCACAAAGTTGTACTACGAAAGCGTCGACAAGAAGCGCCACCAGATGGCTCGGCTCTACATGGACAACGGTTTGCTGGTGTGGAACGGAAATGGTGCCACCGGTAAGGACAACATCCAGAAGTATTTCCAGGAGCTGCCCCGTTCGGAGCACATTATGAACACCCTGGACGCGCAACCGATCATCGACGACGCCGTCTCGTCGCAGCTGACGTTCATCATTCAGGTGTCGGGGACGGTCAAGTTTCAGGATAATCCCACCAAACCATTCCAGCAGACGTTCATGATTACAGCCCAGGGGGATAAGTGGAAGATTGCGAGCGACTGCTTCCGGTTGCAGGATGCTATATTTTAAGATTATGACGCTGATGGATAATATATGGATTCTTCTGAGTAAAAGCATAGTTTGTCCATGTGTTTGAAGAGAAATTCCTTTATTGGGTTACAGATTTTACTCAGTTTTCGGCTTCTTGCTGTCCGGTTCGTCTTCAGTGTTGAAGATGGGTTTGGGTTGAGTCTTGTTATAAGCAGGGGAAATCCAGTAGGGATTGTCAGCAGCCTCTTTTGCGTACTTCAGGATGGCTTCACGAGGATCTTGATCGTCCTCCACCCTCTTGCTGAGTCCGAGATTTCTGATGACATATGAGGAGAGCGTTCCTCCCGAACTGGCAACACGTCCCCCTTGGCCGCTGGTGATGGGCAGATCGGGTCGTCTGGATTTGACCGGATCGAGACGATCCTTTTCGAGCTTCTTCCTGTGTGATCGGGACTTCTCCTGTCGGAACATCGGAAGAGCATGGGGCGTTATGACCTGTGTCGTTCCGATCATTTCCATGTCCTTCTTCTTACGGTGGGTTCGAACCACGCACAGTTTGGCCCCTCTCATGCTGCGCTTCTCATCGTACAGACCACGGATGATGCCGTTTCCGCAGCCGACAAAGACTTGATTCAACTTCGGATGCCAGTGGGTTCGAATTACGTGTGAATCCGTGATGGGAATGATTGTGACAGTTTCGAACGTTTTTGTATCGAAAAAGTACAAATTTCCTTGTTTCTGTTCTTTGGGAATTGATTCTCCTGTCAGGATCATGGTATCGTCCGGACTGAAGCAGCAATCGGTCGTGTCGTAACGGGACAAAAGATTGTCAAACACATGGAGGGGCTTTTTAAATGCTCTCATATCCCACAGCTTGAGGGTTTCATCTGTCGATCTGGTGGCCAGAATTTGCCCAGCGTAGGAGAATAAAATCGACGAAATTTCACGGCCTTTGGCATGTGCGTCTCTGATGCAGTGAGTCGTGTTGACGAACATCCTCCTGGTGTCCCAAGTTTGAATGGATCCGTCGCTGCATCCGGCTGCGATCAGCGTCGCATCCCGATTGTAAGTACACGCAGTAGGAGCCGTCCTCAGTCCTCCCTGAGCTCGAGTCTTGATGACGTTCTTCTGTTCCTTTGATTTGGCAAAAACCCAGGTCCTCAGGGTCGAATCCATTCCGCTGGTCAAAAACTCATCCTTTTTCATGAAATTCCAGCAGCCACCGGTCAACCCAGCCACATGACCCTTGGTCTTGGTCATATCCGTTATGTACTGATCACCCTTCACGCATTCCATCTTTTCGAATCCATCTCGATCCAAAACCTTCGCCTGAGAGCTCCCCGAAACGACGAGGATCATGTCGCCCGTGTTGGAATAATGCAGATCTCTAATCGGATGATTTTCGCAGGGCTGCAAACTTCTGAAACTTTTCATCGATTTGTCCATTCCGGAGAAGTCCCAAAAGTTCAAATTGTAATCCACCGATCCGGAAGCCAACCTCACTCCAGATGGATCAGCCGCAAGGGCAATCACTGCCTTGCCGCCGTGTCGCATTTCCACTTCGTGCGAGTAGGGAATCTTATTGATTGGGGCATCTTCATCGAAATCATCGTCATCATCATCGTCCTCATCGCTATCGTCATCACTTTCCTTACGTTCTTTTTTCCCCTTAACTATCCTATCAGCAGCAGCAGCAGCAGCATCAGCAGAGCCCATCACCGTTGGCATGGGTCCAATCGTATCCCCCTCACTATCGTCATCTGACGAGTTATCATCGGCAGTCGGAGGTTCTTTCCGAATAGCCTTCGGGTCCTCTTCCGCTTTGGGAGCATTCCGCTTGGCTTTCTGGATCATCTCGTTGATGTCGAACTGTTGTGCTTTCCGGCCAAATCCGCTGATCCCCATAACCTCCTGCATTCGGCTGTTTTCCAGGTCGGTGGCAATTTTTTCCACATCAGCGTGCCTGGCCGAGCTCGAGGGACCCGGTTCGGGAGGTGGTTCCATACGGCCAAAAGATCCGAATCCACCGGTTGCTGTCAAAATGGTTGAAAGTGACACTGGGAGAGCTTTTTTATATCATGATCTTACCTGAACTGGATTCGGGATTTACAGATGCGGGAGCTGGGGTAGCTGCCTTCAGCTGTATTTTACCAAACGTAATTTTACCTTTATTCATTTTGTAAAATTTGCTAAGAAATTGCAGAAGAATCGTCTTCTGATCTCTGATGCAGCAAAATATTTTTTCACAACAAAAATGATTAAAATTTGACAGATGCGGTGCTTGCCCTTTGGGATTTTCCGTAATCTAATTTTAAGTCGAGACAACAACTCCTTCTGGCTGGTTGCGTGCTGTTTGTTTAAATTTTCTATTTTGAATTGACTGTTTCCAATCTCGAGCAAATTATCACATCGACTTAAGGACTTTTGCAAACAATGACTTTCTATACGTCATGTTATCGAAATTTAAAGCTCGTCCATTCAAATTTCCACCTTCGTTCTCAGGAAGGTGAAATTTACCCTCTGCCTAATGGTGGTTTTAGTTTAGTGTAAGTTGGTGGGCTATAAGTTTCGATAAATTGCCGTTTGAAGTCATTGATTACGAAAGTACTTAAGTTGATTTACTTTCTACTCAGATTTACTATCCCAACACAGCGAACATAAATGAAAAAAAGGTAATTACTCATCAGAAAGAAGTTCCAATAAAGAAGCTTCTAGAAGTGGCTTCTAATAGAAGATGAAGAGTATTTAATACTCTTAATCTTCTATTAGAAGTCTCTTCTAGAAGCTTCTTTATTGGAACTTCTTTCTGATGAGTAATTAACTTTTTTCATTTACTTGGCGTATCACTCCTATAACTAATATAAACACGGGCAGGACAGTAAATCTGGGCAGCCACGCCCCTGAATACAGGGTTATTATCCTATAGGTCTGCACGAAAAGACAATAGAAGCTGTACGACAACTGCAGCGAAAAGCCCGATCTGATAAAGCTTGCTTGTCGAATAGAAAACTTGATAAACCAAATCAGCTTCAATTAAAGATCTTGATGAAATTTGTGAAAACTGTTAATCTTGCCGTTTCCATTCTGCATACGCCTACATTGGTTTGGAGCCATATAGAAAAGGATCTATCAGCATTTGTATATAAATTTTGTAATGCTCTTTCCTTGCGAATCGCAGCTCGTATACGCACCCCATCAACAATGAATACTATCGGGATGGGGAGAATTTCCCCTACCCTATGGTGTTCTTGATTTGTATACAGGCGAGTTACGGTTCATGCGAAAAAAGACGAATGCACCGATGAATTGTTGAAAGTTGAGAAAAAGTGACACAAGCTGCGGGCATAGCGGGCACAATAACGTAACGAATGAAAGCAATGGACCCGCGTTCATCAGATTGACATCCAGTGGTGGTTTGTTTACCTTTGCGTGTTAGTCGATCCATGTTGATTTGAGTTTTCAAATAAAAAGGACTAAGAGATATGTTATCCGTCTGTTCTTCTAAAAAAAATCTATTTTTTTCTAAGTGCTTGTACGCCAACAGATTTCAAAAAAGTGAGCTTAACCCAACAGTGCAGCTTTCTATTGTTTACTAATCATTAATACAACCGGTGGAAACTAACGATTTTAAATTGGCTCACTACTTGACTAGCCTATTGGTCCCAAGCAAATCGTTTAACGTACCCCATTATAGTCAAAATTCTAGTCCTACACACTAATCCAGCATTTAGTTGTTCGGTTTTTTTTTGTACTGGGCTTACACGGTAAAACGAAAGATTTACCAACAATCAATACGAAAGTAACGATTTTAAATTGGCTCACCACTTTAGTAGCCTATTGGTCCCAAGCAAACGATTAACGTACCCTATTCTAGTTGAAATTCTATTACTACACTATGTTTGTTTTGATTCGCTATGAAAGTTTGACAGATAAAATGAGGGGTTATTGGTTTTTCCTATGTTTCGAGGGGCGAATCGATTAGCTTGGGACCGAAGATAGTACCAGAGCTGAGCCAAAAAGTTGAGCACGTTTCTTCGGGACCTTCTGGTCTTAGAGTTACCTCTATGTTAATACTGAGTGCCGCACGACGACCGAGTGAAAATGGTTCTAGAAAGCGACCCAACAGGAACAAGAAGAAGAGGCGCGCAGCGGGCAAGGTGGATCGACCAAGTAGAAGGCGACCTGCGGACCCTTTGCAGACTACGAGGCTTGTGAAGTGTGGCCATGGATCGAGTAGAGTGGAGTCGACTTCTTCGGACAGCAGAGGACAATAAGGCCTTAGCCTGATTGGTAAGGTAAGTAAGAGCGAGGACAAAAATCGGCAGTGACGTGTCGCTCGTCAGGAAATGTTTCTCCAGCGAAGTTCACCAATGCAATGTAGTCTTTGGTTCAAGCTTTGGTTCGATAGAAAATTAAACTGAATAAATGAAAATTAACTTTCTTGTCAATTTCATGTTAATTAGTTGCAAATCATAGGCATACAATCATGAAAATAAAAACAGCATTGGAATGTGCCATAAACTCATTGAAAAAAGCAAGCTAATCGATGCACCCCTCGAAAGATAGGAAAATCCATGAACCCCTCATTTTATCTGTCAAACTTTCATAGCGAATCAAAACAAACATAGTGTAGTACTAGAATTTCGACTAGAATGGGGTACGTTAATCGATATGCTTGGGACCATAGGCTATTCAAGTAGTGAGCCAATTTAAAATCGTTAGTTTCCACCGGCTGCTAAATAATCGTCAATTATTTGAAAAGCATGTTGAATATAACCAAGGCAACACAACGTGATGCACTATGATTGTTGTGTTACACTGTGATTGTTTCGATTTTTCAACCGATGTTCTTCGAAATCGTCAACACAGCAATATTTATTTATCGTTTCCTCGTTTATTTTGATAAGTTATAGTTTGAAATTGAAGGCGATAAAATCAACAAATGGAACCTCGAATGGAACCCAACGTGGATACGTACACACTTAAATTTTTTCGCCGAGATTCCAACAGCCGAGTAGTTCTGCAATTTATTTTACTGAGATTCAGTAAAACAATTGCCAAGACTCAGCTAACAAATAACTATTTGCTGAAATATCAGCTAACAAACAGATATTTTGCAGAGATATCAGTAAAAGTAAATGCCGAGGTATTCGGCTGTAAGAGATTTTACCGAGCTAGATTAAGTGTGTAAGTAGTAGTGAAACTTCATATTAAAATGCCTTATCTAAAACAGCACCATTTCATACAGATACGAAGACGAGGAACATTCAGAGGAGGAGGGAGACACGGGCACTGCCCAACAAACATTGAATGTTGAATAAGAGCTTATTCAGGCAAAAATAAGCTTCTTCAGCTTAAAAATAGTTTATTCAGTTGTTGATCAACTTAAATTGGGTTCTTTAATTTTTAAAATGTATCGGGTTTCATACATCATGAGCTTTGTTTTCTGAACACAGCGATATTTTTTTCGAAAACATATTCTTTCATCTCGATTTTTAAATCAATATTTAAAGCAAAATAATAACTTCACTGTTTGACCACAGACAAACAGACGTAACACTTCATTGTGTATCTTCGTTCAGGCATTTAACGGTTGATTTGAATATTATCAGTTCCGCGAACTACTCGCCGCAGCGCTGGCATCGGATCACTTTGAGATTTCTATACATTCTATAGAACTTTAATGCAATATTGTTTGCGAGCTAGCGAGCAATCTTATTTTCCGCGAGAATCCAGAGAGATGTCGTTACTGAGGTCCTATGTTTTGAGATACTATGTTTTCAAGAAAAACTTGTTCAAAGAGTTACGTCTATTTGTCTGTGGTTTGACACTAAACTAACAAACTGACAGATCACTCCCATGCAAAGTGCCATCGAGGGTCCCTAAGGTGGTGATTTTTGTAAATGTAATCGTACTTATTTAAAATAGTTCCAGCACCAACAAACGGACATGAATGACCATAGCAAAAACAACAAATTTTCTGACCAAACCACACAACTGACATCTGGCTCCGTGTTTGCGACAGGGACCTCCATTAGCTTACACGGGAAAAAATCCGTTCCGAAATTCGTCAACCTCCAGTCACGATTTTCGGAACAAGTAAATTTTTCGTTTACGAAAGTACACCATGAATAAAAATCATGAAATCGTGAACATTGTTCCACAAAATAAACGTAACGCCTGCAAAGACAACAAAAGTCATAGAATCGTGAACTCTGTTCGGAAAATCATGATCTAGTTCTAGCAAACGTGATTTATGTTCATGCGTTGTGATTGATACCGTGAACCTTGTTCTCGAAAACGGGAACATGGTTCATGAACTGTAAAATGTCAACTTAATTGTAATTAGCAATATTTTAAATGGAGTGAGGAAATGGAATGAAAACAACGGAAGCCTTGATGCAGGTTTTACCCGCATCCCAAACTGGCAGCAGGTATCTGTCTAGCAGATGGAACATGAACACACTTTCAGCCGAGTTTTCAGCTCAAAAAATCAACACCACCTTCAACTTCCTTCGGAGCGGCGGGAGAAAGAACACCGGATGCGTTTGGGGATTCTTTTTCTTCGAGGACGGCCAGTATGATGACATGTACCAGCCGCTGCCATTGTGCCGAACCACCATTCTGATGATACGGCTCAGCTCACTTACTAATAATCGAGACACTATTCTCGACGGATCCGAGCACTCTATATTGATTTTCACGTCCGGTTGTATTGGTGCGATATGTGAGAACGTGTTAGTGAAAATCCGAGGAAAATATATAACAAATCGCTGTCAAACTCATTCTGGCAGATGTAATTTCATACATTTTTTAGGTTAGCCAGAAGAAAATAATAAACATGTTTACACGGTGGTGCACCCGCTAGTGTGCGTGCGTTAAACGTCACTAATCTCTATAAGGATAAAATCAACAACAACTGAAAATGACAGCTGCAGCATTGCATGTGATCCAAGTTCACAATTTCAGGAACGAAAATCACACTTATGGGTTCGTGGATCACGAAATCATGATTTTATTTTGTGTTTTCTGTAGCGTTATGATATCGATGGTCGCGCTGAACAGGCGTGACTTAAGTTCATGGATTTAAGATTTATTTCATGAAAATGTTATTTCCTCGATCACGTTTACGGGAACTAAGTCAGGAATTCAAACGAACTAGCAGTTCATGCTTTCGTGATTTGTTGTTCACGAATACCGGAACGGCTTTTTTTTGCGTGTAGTTT